ATATTCTAATTTTCTAGTGATTACTCAAATACACATGTAAAGTTAATATTTTGGTATTCTGGAAGCATTTTGATATTTAATGCTTTATAAATTAATTAGTTTTTACTTTTATCATTTTCTTTAATCATTGTTAACTACCCTGTGCGGATCAGTATTAACCACTTTTTATAGCGTGAAAATCAGAAGTCTTGATTCATGCAGGTGACAGTGGTAGGGTCACAGTTTATACCAACTTATACCAAATATTTCTATTTTGAGTTTATTGATTTTTCTGCAACAAAATGAAATATATAAATATTATATTTATATCTAATACAAATAATATATATAAATGATATAGTATAATATAAATTATATATATATATATTTTTTTTAGCTTTAGAAGCCTTTACTATGTGCTGAGTGCTTTTGTGAACCAGGCAATGGTGGATAAGGATTAAGATCTGCTTCTGTTGTCAAAGCTTATAGTTTATGCAGGGAAATAGACACAGAAGTAAATAATTTAATTATAATATGATGAATGATAAAGGTAAGTAAAACAGAGGAAATTACCTTGGATTCAGAAAGAATTCCTGAAGGAGATAAAGTGTTAGCTAGCATGAGAAATTAGACAGGTAAATCCTCTGATGAAGAACATTACACACGGAGCAAAAAGACTAGAACAGCATGGAGCTTGTAGAGGCACTACAAACAGTGCGGTACTTTTTAAGCATACATTATGACATATTTGCAAAAAGGAAGTGTGAAGATGGAGCAAAGAAGTTCAGGACTGGGTAATGAAGGAACTGAAAAGAACAAAGACATTTGAGAATTTGAATATGAAAACAGCATGGCTCACTGAAGATGGAAGTCAGAGATCAGGGAGAAGGCAAGGATTCTCGAGTGTCAGTATAAGGAACTAGTACAGACTCCGGTGGAAAGTGGAAGGCAGGGAAGGCCTGGTTTCATGGCATACTGAACGTGAAGTTCTGTGGAATATTAAAATGTATCTGCACATTCAGAAGGTGGATAATTGATGGCTTTGAAACATCAGACCTGCGGATGGGGAATAATGTGGAATTACCAGCACTCTTTGAACACAAACAAACTCAAGCAGATAATAAAAAGCTGAACACCATGGCTACAAACTAATTTGCATGGTTAGAATTGTTAAAATTACTGCTGTATTTCTTCATAAAGGAGTAACAGGAGAGAAGTCAAGTAAAGCAAAGTTCCAAACCGCTACCAATTAAAAACAGTGTGGAGGCGATTTAAAGAATCTTTATCATAAAGTTTGTCACTTTCAATACTATTTGGCTAAAATAATTTTCATTTTTATGTTACTGTAGTACTTTTCAATTTCATATGCTTTATTTCTGCCTCAAACTTTCTATTTATGGTAGCCATTTTTTCTTTCCAGTTCAGCGTAAAATACAATGCCACCAAACAGCACAGATGCATTGCTTTACAAATTACTTAAAAATATCAAGAAATACCAACTAATGAAAAATATTCCTCTATTACTTGCAAAACTCATATATCTGAAAGTGTACATACTATGTTATTAAATGCTTTTTTAAAAATGATGTCATCACTATCTCTCCAAGCCTGTGAATTTGTAGGGACATTTCTAATAATAACGTACAAGTCATAATTAAAAATACATGTCAAACTACATGGGGAACAGATCAGAACTACAGAGAGCTAAATGTACAGGCTTATAATTTTTAATTTACAGTTTCAAAATTCATAAACACTGGCGGCTAGCTAATTTAATTTGTGGCAAAAGCAGATCTGTGCTAACATGAGCTTATTTGTAGTCTCTATTTTTTTCAATGAAATAGAAATATCTATAGGATTCTCTTCAGAAATACATGCATGTAATTATGGAGTGCTTTTAAAAATCCTTCTGGAGGAAAGTTTCAACATGCATTATATGATATATAATAAAAATATGGTGGATATTTAAATAAACATAAAAATAGTACAGCAAAAGACACATTGCCATCATTCCCCCTCAAAATACTCCCTCTCACTTCAAACTTACTTATCCCATCTTTCTCGCTACATTCTACAGCGGTTCTGGAAGATCTCTCTCATGAATGTCTTTCTAGTTGCTGCCTCAATGTTCTGAATCCATTTAAAATGTTTAAGGCAGGGCTGGGGATTTAGTTCAGTGGTGCCTCACCTGCCTTTAAGTGCAAGGTCCTGAGCTCAAAAAATGTTTAAGGCAATTTGTGGCAAATAAAACCATTATTGTATGTTCTCATCCACCTTATTTACTAAGTTTGCCACTGTGCAACTTGTGGCTCTTCCCCAAAATCAGAATGCTCATGAAAGGTAGACATTGCGCATCAATTCACAACATCAAGAAAGCCACAATATTGGAACTAAAGATACGCATTAAGGAGGACATTCAGAACTGCTTCTGAAAGTGCCAAGCATGATGAGATAAGTGTGCTTGAAGTGAGAAGGAATATTCTGAGGAGGATTAATGGCAATGTGTCTTTTAAAAATATTTTATTATTATATGGTGTTTGTATTCATTTTAGGGATTAGGTACATGTACTTAATATATTTTGATTATTTTAATTCCATTTCCTCTTCCTACTCTTCTTTCTCCCTCCTTCTCTATATCCTCTTCCCCCATTTTCATTACTATTATTGCTATTCTTATTGTTATTATTATTATCAGTTCATGTTTGCGATAGATGATGACTACATTCATTGCAAGTAGTTAGTACATGACAATGTGACTCTGTAATTTTAAAATTTGAACATTTACTGTATATTTATCACCCCTGACACATGCAGAAAATTAGTAAAATTCTGAACTTCAAAGCACAACTCAAGTGTTTGGTTAACAAATTGTATATTAGTATAATTAAAAAATTAAATTTTCAATGGCATCATAACCTAGATATTCAATCTAACTGGGTTTCTAGAATTAAGACTTTTTTTCATTTTTGTGTGTAAGAGATTGTTGTACACAATATAGTTCTGAATAAAAATATTTCCAGGGCCGGGGATTTAGCTCAGTGGTGCCGCCATCTGCCTCGCAGGCACAAGGTCCTGAGTTCAATCCCCAGTACAAAAAAATATATATATATATTTCCACCATTCTCCTTCTTTTTTCTCCAAATTATCTTTTCCTAACACTTCATTTTTACAGCAGCCTTATAAAATAGTAAACCTTTTTATGGAAGAGTAAATATTTTTAAAAGCTCCCATTACTTTAGAAACATTTTGATAGAGTTAGGATTGAGAATAAAAACATTAGGTTTTAATTTTAAAAATTCAGAAAGGATTCTTGCTGAGTCTTACAGGTAGAATCAAATTGTCAACTTTCAGGGAAATGGGAACATATTGTGGCACTTATTTAATTAAAAACATCAGTTGACTGCTCTTCCAGTACATACTGAATGTATTTCCATCTTGTCCCCAGTCTACTAAAATCCTAGGCCTGTAGCCCAAAATAGAAATGATTGTCATTTTGTGCTTACTACAGAAGCTGAGGAGCAGTGTGAGGGCTTTGTTATCCTTCTCTACCAACAACATTAACCACCTCGAACAGTTTTGAAGAAGCAAGAGCATGGTGATATTTCTAGAAACCAACTCAGGAAAAACAATTGCAAAGACTGAGGTATCTACCTTGACAAAAGTCATTTTTGGTGAAGATTGGATAGTTGTCCTTTGAAATAAATCAACACATGCTGTGTGATTAAATGAACCAGTGTTATCAACAGGTCAAAGTTATTTGAAAAAGTATTTCATCTTAACAAAAAACAAACTAATTGAAAATGTAAAGGACTGGAATCAGAGTTAGTCATATAGGGTTCTGGGATCATCTAATGGTATTTCATCAGAGATATTACATTGCAAGTTAATAGTACCACAGGATTTAGAATTTTATCAACTTTTACTATGTAGTTTTCAAAATTACTGAAAAGATGTGTGCTGCAAGACAATTTCATAGAAAGAAGTGAATTTTTTGCTCTGTTGTCTTTTAAACCAAAAGACAAGGTTGTATTTAAAAGAAAACTATAGTTTATTGGAAATGACTATTTAAAATCTCATTAATATTTTATGACTTTTCTAATATCTAAAAGAAGCATAACTATGGAATTGTTCTGTAGGTAATAGATCTTTAATAATAACAATTTGTAAATAAGATGGCAAATATCAAATTTTTATAAAAGATTAACAGAAATGTATTTAAAAATAACTAACCTAACAAAAGTAAATTTGTGAGAATAACACTGAACTTTTGCTCTTTCTCGATTTCTAAAGTGTCTTTAAATTAAAAAGAAACATTTAAATTTTGTGTTGTTTTTTGATTTAGTGACACTAGGGATAAAATCAGGACCTTATGCATGATTGGTAAGTGCATCACATTGCTCTTTATCTTCAGATATCTCCCTAGTTGAAGTATCTTTTAATAAGAAAGCATAATGTGTCAGTAATTTAAGAATTTTAAAGCAGGTATTAGACATTTTTACAGAAAGAGAAAAAAATAATTAGACAGTAGACTTTCAAACTACTATCATTTCCATAGACAGAACACACAATTGAAAATTGAAAATAGGTGTTTTTCAAATGTCATAACTGTGTTTAAAAAGTAAGAAGAAATGTAAAACAATTCCCCACAATCTAGAAACTAAAAGCTGATCAACAAATGGTTTCTCACTCCCACAAAAGCATAAAGATAAAATTTTCAAAAAAGAAAACAGACAGGGATTCATGCTTCACAGACAAGCACACACGCACACACACGCACACAAGTATACCATGATTTTATCTGAGGTAGATATATAAAATTATATATATTATTAACTATATAATATATAATTATATTATCATTAATTATGTAATATATAATATAAATCACTTCTCTATTCTTAAATTTTTCTTACAAAAACATGCATAATATGTGAAAAAATGGTGGGAATAAAGCATGTCTTATTAAAACCTTACCACATTTTCAATTATACTAGGAAAGACAAACCCTACTGGAAGCATACCTGTGGCAGGGCTGAATTGAGCTGTCTCTGGAGTGAGTCTCTGTCATAGATGACATCCTGCAGTCTCTGCTGGGCAAGTGACAGGCTTTCCTGGGTCTCTCGAAGGGTGTCTAGAAGACGATCCCTTTCGTCCAGCATATTTACCATCAGTTGCTCAAAATGGGAGTCTGAGTCCGAGCCACTGCTTTGGGACCCCCTTTGGCTCATTGGGGTATCCTCGTTAATCGTGGGCATCACTTCACACATCATTGCTTAAAAAAGATAAAGGCAGAGTCAGTAAAGGAATGGCTTCCAAAAATCCCACCTGATTATCATCTCACTTAACTCTTAGCAGCTCATTAGTCTAGTTGGCCCTCTTTCTCCTTCCCATTCCCCCATCTTTAACCAAGCTGAACAGTTTTGATCTCAATAAAATATGACCCCTTCCCTTTCTCCAACTGACTTGCTTCTCTTTCTCCTCATGGCAATCCACCTGTCAAACACAATATGTCTTCACCTGTTTCTCAGTTTTCTTTTTTATGATTTATCCCACTTAATTCACAGAGATATGTTATTTCAATTATTATTTCACTACCTTTTTTTGGCTGCAAGTTTGAATCTCTTGAAATACTATCTCTATGTTAATTGTTATTGTACTGTCAACAGGAAGTATGTGGTCTGTTAAAGGAGTAGGAAGTAGAAAACTTTTGAATGACTTTGACAATTAAAGTGAAATAATGTTCATTCTTTCATTTAGAAAATCCACAAATACTTGAATATCATATATAGTAAACTACTTTGATTTTCTTATTTTTCTCAACAAACTTTGTCATGCCAATTAAAGGGTTTTTAACATTATAACTTTCAAGTTGTTAAGTATTACTGACTGAATTAGACAAACTTTATGAAATAGGCTGTAATAAATAAATGTGTTTTCATTATTCTGTTTCTAATAACTCTTGATATTCCTTTGTTTCCTGTTAGATGCACTGTCTGTTTTCCATCTAAACATTACAAACTAACACTCTTTCAAATATTCCAAAAAACAGATGTGTTAAATTACATTAGCTAATTTAGTAACTTCACCTCTCAGCTGCTAATCACAAGCTTTAAATCATGAAATAAATGAACTGTTGAAAATATTTTTTAAATAATTTATTAATTAGATTTTAAATCTACAGCATAGATATTGACAGGCAACAAGGTATTATTACAGAGTGTCTTTTTAAAAATCATTCTTGTTTTCTTTCATCCTGTATTTTATGTTTTAAAAAAGTCCAGCTCAACTCAGTTTTAGTTGTACAATCCCAAGAGCTATTAATTAGAGGGCTTGGGTTTGCAGAAGACGATGTGGAAAACAGCTGGCTTGGCTGCTGATGCTGGAATATTCTTTGGTTTTATAATGTAAGGTCAATTCATTTTTCTGCCTACATATTTATGTCCTTGGGAAAAATATTTCTGGTAATATTTTAAAATAAAATGTCAAGATTCTTCTTATAAATTGTGTTACTGAGGAGAGAATTTGATTATTTGTGAATGATTTATTCAGGCCTCACAGAAAACTAAGAGAAACTTTTCATATACTAAAAGGAAATTATTTTGTGACCATTGATCTATGTAATTCTAGGGTAATGCAAAATGATTTGAGATTTTACTCATAACTCAAAATATTGAGCTACCTAAAGGCAGGAACTTGACTTGTTCAATTCCTATTTACCCTAAAATAAATGCCAGGGTAGGTGAATAGAATAAACTTACATACACACACGGACACACACACACACACACACACACAGTACTACACTACTACTACTACTACTACAATGTTACCCAAGTACCATTTTGTCTTTTTATCAATTTGATTTTCATTCAAGGACTCACTTAGATGAAAAAACATTCCTTAACTGCTTCAGTATTTCTTTGGATCAAATGCAAAAGAATTGGATAACAAAAACAAAAATAGTTCCAACACATTTGCTTATTTAAATAATTAGCTCACATGTCATGCATGAAATACACATATTGAACAGCTGTGTCATTCTGAGAAAACATTACCAGGAGCCAATTTGTGTATTTTTGACATTTAAGGTTAAAACAAAGTATGAGGGAAGGGGGGGAGGCAGCGATCAGACTGTGACAAATTGTGTGAAAATAATCTTAAAGTTTAAATTTTAAGATTAAACATTCTTAAATCTGTATTTCAAACTGTATCCTTCTTGAAAGCACTTCTAATTACTTACAATAACTTTACATCTCAAGGAGAAGCATAACTATAGTGATTACCCCAAGAACAATTTTCACCAGAGGATGATATCCTGATCCTTTATAACCTCTTGTATACACCATAGGGCATTAGACATTCACAAAGTTTAGACTCTCGGGACATTATAAAAGATGGTCCTCCATTTAGTTAGTCAAAAAATTCTATGATGAGAACTTAGTTGGGGATTTAGAAAGTCTCTGAAATCTACATTCAAAGAACTTAATTACATTCCACTCTTGAAGCCAGTAGGGTAAGTACTTCATCACCCAAAATTTCAGTTTTCTCATCCCTAAAGTAGGGATAATAATCTGTGCTTTTCTAAAAATCCCATTTTTAAGGACTTGATCATGTACCTGACTGGGAACACCCATTAAAAGATCTAAAACATTATCACAAATTCAATTATTTATTTCAATTATTAAGGGTCCAAGATTCATCTTTGCAGAAATAATATTTTACCTTCATGACTGCTTTTGCTTATAGGCCTAAAGATTTAATTCGGGTGACTATTGAACTCTCCAAATCGATTTATAAATACTAAACTAGTCAAAAGTTACTTAGAAAATAAGATGAACACTTGTCACTTTTTATTTCCAGTCAACTCAAATAAGTAAGTAGAATCTTTTTATTGAAAAATGAAAGAAAAGACTACAAAAGTAAGGCCATTTTCATAAGTTTGCTTGCATTACAGCTTAGATTCTGTCTAATATAAACTGCAGAATATATGAAAATCCTTAAAATATAATGTAATATTTATTAAATATTTCAATTATTAGAAGCAATTAAAAATCCATATAAACTCTTTCATAGAATGGATGACATCTGAAACAACTTTTATGGTCCAGAAGGGTCTGGTCATTCATTGTTTCGTGTATTTCACCTAGATATATTACTTTTAGTTTTTACAATCTTTCAGTATTAAAAATGGAAATATCATATAATTTCACACCAAACTAGAAAAAACATGCAAACAGTTTGCTTGGAAATATGTCTGTTCATCACCACCTCCTTCCCTAAAGTCAAGTTGACATATAAATAATGTTAAATTCATCTAGACATTGGTTGTCCATTAAATCATTGAAGCTTTTAAGACCTAGTTAGAGACATTGTTAATTTTGTTGCGAAAGGGAAAGAAATAATAAGCCTAGTTAGTTTAATTATCCCAGTGCTTAAATTTAACTTGTCAATTTTTTTTTACCAGGAAAACCAACTCCCATGTTGTTAGCACTTAACCTTGACTATCTTCTAAATCTCTCAGGGTTCTAATAAAAGTTTCGAATGATCCTTGAAATCACTGCGCAAAGGATTTCAAGATCCTTAGCAATATGTCCTATAAGCTATTCACATATGAGAGCACTCTGAGACGCTTTTTAGTCAGTGAATAACTATTTAATCATATTAGCCTAATTTAGACCCTACTGTAGGCAAAGGTACAGTTATTCTGCACAGTTTCTTCTGCAAAGATTGAGTCTTTAGAACCACCCGAACTCCACCTCAGTTAACCTACACGTAGTAATATGACTGGAGAAATCCCAGCCATTGTCTGATTACATTACATGAATATTCCTTCTCCTATTTAACTCTTTGAAACTCCCTGTCCGCCGGAAATATTACTATCACCTTTAATGGAAGCATTTTCTCTCTCTTTACCTTAGTGCACTGACAGACGGCCAAGGAGCCAGTTCATCCACCCTCGCGGACAGCTCGCTCTCTCAGCCACACCCCCACCACCACCACCCTGCGAAGTTGACTTCATAATTTCCACACTAACGTTGTTCATCTTGCCCAGCAGCAGAGAGACAAGTCGCAGAAGGCACAGAAATAGGAGATGGGGAAGGCGAGTGGAACGCCAAGGGTACCTAACTGCAATCCACAAGGAGGCATTTGCCTCTCATCTTCCCTGGGGGCGGGGTGGGGCCGGGGGAGGCTTTAAAAAATAAAGCAGAAGGGAAACCGTGTAACTCAGACACAGTTTCAGTACCTAATGTCTGTAATTTCGGGTCCTGCCTCTTCAGTGGATCAGTGACACCCGCAGTCTCCGGCTGGATGAGAGGGGCGGCTCACACTCCGAGCTACGGGACCATTTCCCTAGCAACGGGAGGAGAAAGGCCGCTCCGACGCCCTGAGTCCCCGCGCTCCCCTGAACGTGCCCGGCGCCAGGCTGTGGCCGCAACTCCGCATCTTCCCGCGGCTCCGTCAGCAGCCAAAAGGAGAAGCGTCCATCGGAAAAATGGCATATTACAAATTTTGCTTTGGGAAGCACAGCTCGGTTCAGACCATTGTCACGGCGAGGAGAGGGGGAGGCGGCTCTTAAAGCAGCAGCAGCCCCTTTGCCGGAGCAGCCGCAGCTCCCCCCTTGCAGCTGGAGCCCGGCGGGCGCGGGGAGCGGCGAGCGGGACTGGGCGCCGGGGACCACTTCGGGAAACTCAGCCCCGCGCGCTGCTGCTCCCCCTCCGCGCCCTGGCCACGCGGGGTCTAGGCAGTGTCCCTCGGAGCGGGAACTTCGGGGAAAGCCAGTAGGAGTCTCTGGAAGTTCTCCACCCAGTTCTCAGCCCAGCCCGCTGGAGTTTGGGGCTGAAGCTGGGAGTTTGGCAGTTAAAGGGAAGCGAGTGGCCGGGGGAAGGGAGAAGAGGGGCGGATCCCCTCCTGGCTCCCAGCTGATTCCCGCCCTGGGGCGCTTGTTTCACTTAGAGCAGGTGCTCTTGCTCCGGGAAGGGCAGCAGGGCACCCCGCCCCAACCCACACCCGTTCTCTCCTGGCAGCCCCTGGGAGCCTCCCGCCTGCTCGCAGCGGTGGCGCCTGCAGAACCAACCTACTGGGAGCCGGCGAGGAGGCTACAGCATCTTCTCTCACTTGCCTCGTGCGCGCTGCTGCTCCTCCTTCTCTGCCTCCTCCCCTCCTCCTCCTTGGCAGCCGCCACCTCCTCTTCCTCTGGAACAAGGGCTTCCCCTGGAAGCTGTTGCAGTGGTTTCCACCGGCTCTTAAATAAATTCTGAAGTAATCACGTCTTTGCTCTCCTCCCCACGCACACGCACTCGCCGAGACACTCGTCTCCCCAGGAGCCGCTCCCGGCTGCAGGCTGCCGGGCTCGCGATGGTCCAGGCTCCTCCGAGCTGGCGAGGGCCGGGATGGCAGAGATAAGAAGAGCTACGTGTGGCCCACCTGTGCTTCCCTCACACAATGGTGTCTATAGGAAAGCTTGCGTGGGCACGCGCTGTTGGGGTGGGAATTCACTTGGGCACCTTCTGTCTCCCTGGCCTCGGCTTGCCATGGCTTTAAGCTGCTTTCTCTCTGGCTGGAACAGGCGTGATAGTATTGATAATGGGACCTGAGTCAATCTAGGGTGTGGCGTCATCTGTCACTTCTGGTCACACTTCTTTTCCATTCATTGGTTTGGTGATGAGGACTATGCATTGAAAATACTTCCTGCCCAGTCCGTTTCAGCTTTAAACAGACCCTGGTCTTGACCTTGTTCTGGTTCCCCTTAACATAATGTTCTCTAATATTCTCTCCCCCCTCTCCCTCTCCCTCCCTCCCTCTCTCCGTGTGTCTCTCTCTCTCCCTCCCTCCCTCTCTCCTCTCCTGCTTCTGCAGTCCACTCTTGTAGACTATCAGAGATAAAAAAGAAGAAGAAGAAGAAGAAGAAGAAGAAGAAGAAGAAGAAGAAGAAGAAGAAGAAGAAGAAGAAGAAGAAGAAGAAGAAGAAGGAGACAAAACCTGTACCTACTAAAGGAAATGATTCACATAAGGAGATTCATTTTCTCAGGGTTTGATGAAAAAGAAGACCACACACACAAGGGGATTAGGAGCAAGGATTAAGCATTGAACATAATTGGGGGTGAGCATAAATATGTTCACAGTGTACAAGAAATCCTAAAGGCATGTTTTTCTCTTGTGTAAAGCATAGAGTCCAAAGTTAACAAAGCAAATAGTACTCAAAGACTACTCAAATACTGACTGACTGAAATTAACTACGATATTCAAGAAATAGTCTCCTTCTGTAGTATTTAATTCAGCTAATGATTCTATACTGGTCTATGATGGCACATTTCTGATTTTACTCCCTTCCAGACTGTTATTCAAATTTTAAACCACAAAAAATTAATTTAAAACATATTAAGTATAAATTTATGAGGATTTACTAGCAGTCAAGTAGAACATGATTTCTCAAACATAGCGTACATATTGACCACCTATGAATCTTGTCATCTTGTAGATTCCGATTCACTAAGATGAAAGTTGACCCTGAGACTCTGCTTCTCACAACTCCTAGATAGTATCCCATTTTAGCAAGGGTCTAGAACACCCAATCAATTTACAACTTTAGGTAGCATAAATAACTATAATCATAGGAAACTCAGCCCAATCTGTTTTCAGACAGATAGAATATTGTAATTGCCTCATTGTATTAATCAGGAATCAGTAGTCTTATAACTTTCACTCTGTAATCCCACAGAAGACTTGAAATATCTTTTGAAACTTTCATATTTTTAAATATAGCCATTATATCTATCTGTATAATAATTTGTTCCTTATTAACTTTCAATCTTTATTTCCTTACCAATCAACATTGTCAAACCCAGGCTCACATGTTCTTAGCATTTCCAAGTACTGATTTGCCTGGCTCACATTTATGCACAACATAAAAGTTAAATTGTAAGTATAATCTCAATATTATTTCACATAACAAAGTTAAAAGATTACCTACAGTTGATACCACAGAAAGAAAAGTTGGATAACAGAAGGCAAGAAATAACCAAAGAAAAAGAATAAGAAGATTATAGTCTTCCTGCTCACTCTTAGCTTAGAAACTACATTCTCATCCCAAATCATGTAAGTAACCTTTCCTGTCAGAACTGCAAAAGGTACTTTAAAGAAGAAATGTTACAGAAGGCATTAGATGAATGAATTTATATGAGAAAATAGTCACCACCTATACTGGCTTCTCTAGTTTTAAGCCCTCAAATTTAGTATACAAGAGAATATCCACAATAGCTTATGCTACAAATTGTTCAATCCCATTCCCAGAATAAATGATTCACTAGTTGTATGTCATGGTTCAATGAATTAGATTTTTAATAAGTTCTCAGGAATGCTAATATTGTTAGTTAACATCCCACTTTGACAACTATTACTTAGATAAACCTTGAGAATTTGGGGAATAAAAGAAGTACAAAGCAAGAAAAGAGCTGCTAGTGTTTTGTGTTCAAACAAAAGATATTTTATACAAACATAAACACATTCTTTATGCTATGGTTTCATCTACTCCTAGTGATTTTAATGACCAACCCATCAATGTTTAAGATGAAATATGCTTATTGACCATATAATCAACATGATTTAGTCAAGGGTGGTAGAAGCTACCTCTTCCGTTATTATTCTGAGGGCCTAACATCAATAAAAGGATTTAGTCTTCAAAAGCATATTACAGTGGCATACCTAGTGATTTGTGTTCTGTACATTTTATTTCACTTATGAACTATTTGTTTACATGTTACTTTAAATGAATTGTATCATGCGATACTCTTTTACTTTTAGTGATCAGTTTTTTCTAACTGCATATTCTGAATAGCACATGGAATGTTAGCAATATTGGAATAATATATAAGAATTAATTAATTAATTTATTTATTTATTTATATGGTACCAGGGATCAAATGCAGGTCCTTGTGGTTGTGAAGCAGCCGGTGGAAACTTTGAGCTAAATCCCTGGCCCCAAGAATTTATTTTTATTTAAATAAAGAGTGGATCTGTTTATAAAGATATAATTTAGTAAGATTACATACCAAAGAATATTGGTAATTAAGCATGGGCCATGAAAATAACAAAGATTTAGTAAATGACAGCAATTAGTTTTTTAAATACAAAGATAATTTTCATGCAAATACAATGTAAGTGGTAACTATTAAGAGCAGACACGTTCATCACAATATCACCTCATTGTAACTACATAGCTACACGTTTGCAAAAATATTTTGCCTACATTGAAAATACCTTACATTGACATTATAAAAAACAACTCACATTTTGCGTATCTATATTGACTGTTGAATATAGATTTTAAGGTGGACTTATATTTAGAAATAAAAGTAATTCATATCATACATTCTACCTATAGTTTTGTAGGAAGATGAATTGTATTACAGTTCTGATTTAAGAGTCATGAAATATTATAAAACTGCATTACTTATGGTAAGCAATTTTCTAAAAATCCAAAATATATAACAGGTCAAATCCAAATGAAGTTAATTGTTCACTTTCTCCATATTCCAAGGTAAGAATCAGTCAGTTTACTGAAGAGTTGGTCAATTTTCTTCCACATAGTAATCCAGGGTCCTTTCTGGTCTGTACCCTGCCATTTCCTGAGGTTTCACAGATAGACAGTGGGTGAGGAGGAGTGGTACAAGTACATGACTTCCTAAGAAAACTTTGTCCTGCATGACACACTTTTTCTCACATTCTACTAGTGAGAACAACTCTTATGGCAACATCTAATTATAAGAAAGGCTGGGAAAGCAAATAATAGCATTAAAATCAAAAGAGAATATGAAGGGGTTTTTTTTGCTTAAATTCTTTCATTGATACATTTTAGGTATACAATACATTTACATTTATCATTGGGTCCGTGTACCTGTACATGATGTATCTTGGTTCTTATTTTTTCCCCATTACCTGTGCGCCCTCTACCCATTCCACCCTTCCCTATTTACATAGACTTTTTTCAATTTTTTTCTTTTCTCATAATTTTTCCTTTCCCTTCTTTCTTTTCCCCTTCCCCTCCTACTTCCCCTACCCCTTTGGACCTTTTCTTCCTGTTTCAAATTATCAATTATTCATTTTAATCATTTTAATCCTTATTTACACTTTCAGTTTCTCACAATAGAGAAACTATTCGGGTATTTACACATGTGTGTCCTGTTTATTTCACTTAAGAGTGTAGCCTCAATATGCATCCATTTAGCTATAAAT